CCTCCTACAACTGTACGGGGGTGCGTCGGCGCCGCCTGGAGACGACGAGGAATTCGGCGGGGCCCCCGAGACGACTCTTCCGGGGCTCCGTGACTCGAGGGAACTTGTCCAGGCGAGCCCGCACGGTTTCCCCGAGCTGCTGAGGCTCGTGGCGATTCACAGGGAAGGGGTGCTCCGGCGAGTGGAGACCCGCCGCATGGCCGCCGCCCGCGGTTTCGCTGGCCTCGGCTTCCGGCGGGAGGGGGCCAGGGGCCGTGACGCGAGGGTTCTCCAGGCGAGGGTGTTGGACCCGCTGGGGGAGGTGATGCGCATCCTGCGGCACCTGCTCAAGTCCGAGGAGGCCAAGCCGTTCGCGGACGTTCCTTCGGACGATGACGTGACGCCGGAGTCGGAGAGCGGCCTGGGTGATGACGGAGGGTTCGGCGGGGGCGGGGACGGGGGGGTGGTCAAGAAGGAGGAGGAGAAGGCCGAGGTGAAGAGACCGCTGGACCTGGGTACGATCCTCAGGCGGGCGGAGAACGGGTGGTATGACCTTGAGCCGGGGGCTGAGGTGAGAGCATAATTTCGCGTTGTTGTTGTTGTTTCTGCTGCTGCTGCTGATGCTGCTGCTGGGAATGTTGTTGTTGTTGTTGTTGGTGGTGGTGTTGGTGTTTCTGCTGCTGCTGCTGCTGCTGCTGCTACTGGGGATGTTATTGTGTGTGCAGCAGCTGTTACTGTCGTTTTATGCTAATCGCATTTATTTTTCGGCACTTAGTACTGATACTCGTGGTGGAAAGTGTCTTCGCCTTGGTAGCTCTTTGTCCTTGACCTTCGTTGACCTCCCTCTCTGTCACCCTCTGTCGCTCTGTTGTCTTATTTCCTTGTTGTCTAGCCTCCGGTGGAGTCGAACAGCTTCGGTGCGGGGCACGCAGGTGTAGCGTACGACGTGGAGCTGATGCAACAGGGCTGGTTGGAGGCGAAGGGCGCAGACAGCGCCATCTTCGAGCAGGTGTGGCAGGCAGGCTCGGAGGAACACTGGGGAGTGATTGAGTTTTTCGCAGCTTTGGTTGAAGAAGACATGCGCTTGTGTGCTCCTCCACATATATAGAAGATGATGGCATATGTACGTGTGGCGCTGGCGTGGTTGATGTCGCTGCAACAAGCGAGAGTGTGTGTTTTGCACCTATGACTCTTTGTTAAGCACGGCGTGAAGGAGGCAACACGTGTGTTACACTACACGGCTGCTGCACATGCGGTTGGTTCATGAGGGACGCTGGGTTCGATTTTCTCTGGCCAGGTTCGTTGTTTTGCCTCGGGGCTCGAACGAATGTTTTCGCAGCCTGCACCCTCATGAGCGGGCCGCTACGACCGCTCTAGTAGCCTCCATTCTCTCCCGTCCACCCATCCATTAAATATCATCGTTTCACCGCGGGCGGTGTAATTATTGCCGTTTCGCAGGCTCGCGGGGTGGTGGACGAGTTCCTGGCTCTCTACGAAACTCACGTCCTCAACCCGCTCGTAGAATTAGACAAGGACATCAGAGGTTCCGCGGCTGCGGCGGCGGCGGCGGCGGCGGCGGGGAGAGGGGGGTTGGAAGAGGGCCGTGTCCTGCTCCGGTCCGACACGGACTCCGAGGGCGCGAGGAGGGGTGCAACTGGGTGTAACGACCCGCTAGAGATGGTGAGGCAGATGGGGTCGGAGGAGTACAGGCGGTGGTCACCGGCGGCGAGGAGCCGGGCTCTGGCGTGGCTCTGCGACGAGGCCCTGTCCGCCGCGACGATGAACGACCTTGTGAAGAGGGTGCAGGAGGCGAAGGAGGTGGTGGACCGGAAGGACCGAGAGGTGAGGACGGGGGGTACGCGGATTGGTGCGAATTTCTAGCGGGGGAGGGGGGAGGGGGGAGGGCCCCGAGGTGTCTAGAGAGGACGAGACATCGTAGATGGTGTGTGACCTTCAAGCGGGACGGGTGGGACGGGAAGGAGCCCCGGGATTTCGAGAGGGGTAGGTAGAATAGAATGGGAGTGGTCCGGGGTCCGACCGACTGCTCCCTCCGGTGTATGGCACTCATGTGTGGGTGTTTTTTCCCCGACATTTTGTGCGCGGAATTTGCTTATTTTTTTTTGTGTTCGGATCGGGAAATGCAGGCGAAGGTTGTCGAAGGTGTTGTTTGCGGTGGTGGCGTGACTTATCCTTATCCACACTACGTATTCATGCCTGCCGTTGTGTGTTTTGCAGATCAAGGCAGCGGTTAGGCAGAGGCTTCGAGACCAGGAGGCCACGGAGGCTAGAGGGTGAGTGTCAGTTGGGAGTGTCGCTTGGGTGCTGTCACGGTCTCGAAAAGGAAACAAAAGGGGGCATTCCAGTGCCAGTCAGGAGGTGGTGCTGGTCATGACCCTGCTATGTATCTGGCGCCTCTCAGGCTCTAAGGGCGTTGTCGACCTTTTAGCCTCTGACGCACAGCCGCTGTGTAGTGTAGTGTCGGAGGCCCCTCCCCCAGTCGTGCCTATCTCCTTCTCTCCATGTTTTCGCGTGTTTTTGTGTGTTATTATAGCGTGCCCTTGCCTACGAGACGCGCGCTTTTCTCTGTGCATCGACCGTGTACACGCACCGGAGCTTTTTTTTCTGCGAATGGCGGCCGTGGTGGTTCTTCCCCCCTCCCTGCTCGAGCAGATTTCGATATTCGTCAAAATGCGTCGTGTTTGTTTTCTCTTTTTTCTTAAAACAAAAATCGCGGCGCCACGTCGAACTCTTGTTGTTGTTGTTGTGGCTGGTAGGTAGTTGTTGTTGCGGGGAACCTCAGCTGTACTGTATTTCTTTCTTTGTTGTCGCCGACCGTCGGGGTACTTCGCAATTGAACGCGCCTCGTGCTTGCATGTACTGGTTTTCGCGCGTCGGATGCGCCCCCCCGCACCTCCTTCGTTTCGGGCAGGTTTCACAACCCCCACAATCGTCGCGGTACGGAGGCTGAGATGATCACGGCTCGGATGCTGATGGAATCTCCGGATGTCAAGACAGTTCGGGAGTTGGGCAGCGTCAAGGTCCGGTTGAAGCCGCTGGGGCTGGATCGTGATCGCCGAAGATACTGGCTCTTTGCCACTGGGGAGGTGTGTTTCTACCGAGTTCGGTCTACGTGTTTGTGCATACGCATATGCATCGAAATCTTGTACTTGTTTGACAAGCTACGTGTAGACAACGCCGAGGATAGTCTACTGCTGTACGTGTCCCACGAGGCTTGGGCTGTGGTGAGCGTTCAGACCTGGTAAATAGCCCTCGAGCATATTTTTGTTACGGTGTAGCGTCGTCCCGAATTGAATGCTTGTCAACGTCTCAACCAAGCTATGCATAGCCCTCGCCTCGTGTAGAATCCCTTCGACCCTGCTTTCCCGCCCCGCTTTTTTGTGTGTTGCTCCTACTGCACGCTCGATGTCTACACCAAGGACCCTCAAAAGCCGTTTTCTTGTGGCATGACGTTGTCGGCGCCTCTGCCGTGATTGCAAACAGACAGGACAGTACAGTATAGTACAGTACAGTACAGTACAGTACAGTACAGTACAGTACAGTATAGTACAGTACAGTACAGTACAGTACAGTATAGTACAGTACAGTACAGTACAGTACAGTACAGTACAGTACAGTACAGTACAGTACAGTACAGTACAGTACAGTACAGTACAGTACACAAGTTCGCTGCCTCGTTGTTACCATCACGGTCCGAAATGGTGTTGTTGCGAACGCAACGCAAATATCGACGGAGGGGGGGGGGGGGGGGAAAGGCCCCATCCCCTCCCCAGCCCCCCCCCCAAAAGACAAAGGCCAAGGCCAGCGTGATATACTACATACCGGCTAAAATACCAACCCCGATTGTTTTCTGTCTTCCGCGTGTTTTGGAACTTCTGGAATCCTGCTGCTATTGTATGCATATCGTCCCGCACCAGGACCACCGGTTGTTCGTGGAGCACAACGAGGTTTGGGGGTGTTACGCCAGGGTTTCCCAGCTCAAGGCGCTCCACAAGTGGCTAGACCGTCGAGGCGTCCGAGAGCGCACCCTCAAGGCGAGTGCTATTATACATACGCTTTCGTACCTCACGGTACCAGTCTGTGGTGCCAGGAAACCATGTATACCATTTTCGAAGTACAACGTGTACTCTTTTTTTTTGCTCTTTCGAAATTCGAAGGGCTTCATCTCTGCATATCCACAGATAAATAGTACCTTTCGAAAGAAGAGCGGTGTTTTTGTTGTTGTTACGAAATCGCAACGAATTCATCTCTATGCGTTGATGAATAACTAACACGATTGCACGCAAACGTTATGACGCATGTTCTTTTTTTTTATTCTTACAAAATCGCCACGAATTTCATGTCTCTAAATACCATTTTCGAAGTACAAGTTGTACTTTTTTTTTGCTCTTACAAAATCGCAATGACTTTGGAACGCCTAACACACGATTGAACATGACTGCTGTCTTGATGCCACAGGCTGCCCTCCGAGAGCACCTGATCGCAAACCTCGGCGTTAGCGCACAGGAGTTGGAGCCTGTTCGTAGGCCGTACGGAGGAAGCAGCAGGGGGCGGTCGGACGTGGACGTGCTTGGCGGTGGTGGCAATGAGGGAGCCGACGAAGGGGACGAGGAAGAGGAGGAAGATGGCCAGCAGGTGAGCAGCAACAGCAGTGATACGATGGCATCCCACACGGGACGGCAGGCGTTTGTACCACTGGGTAGGATACCACACGATTTGTGGCGTTTGTGTGTAAAACGGCGCGTCTGTGTTTGTTGAACTTGTTGTGGGTTCGGACATGAGGCGGAGGGTTCGAGGAGGGCGTGGCATGTCCGGCCCACCATCTGTGCATACACGTGTCTGTGTCTAGGTTTTGGCATCGACGGCGCTATTTAGCCTTAGCCGGTTGGACAATGGAAACATGTCAGTCTCAGCGGTAAAACGGCGGGAAACACTACTAGAGGCCATGATCTGGGATGGACGCTAGACTATTGTCCGGATTACGGCCAGAAACAGAAGCGGATGAAGGAATATGTATACACATGTCTTGTGATGTTTCTACTCTGCTCGTGTTGCTGTTGCTACCTGTATTTGTTGTTCTGTTCATATCATCCTCCTTGCGTGTTTTCTGCTCTCGTCGCTAATTTTTCCTCTACTTTGGACAGTTCTGTGTGCCTGCGGTGTTATTTGCGTGGAATACTATGATAGCTCCGTCAAAACGATCGTTCTCTTCCACACCATCTCCTCCTCCTTTTCCGTTTATTGTTTCCACTCCTCTCTCCTCTTCCATCGTACCCTCTTTCGTTACTACTACTACTACTACTGCTGCTGCTACTACTACTACTGCAACTCCCTTCATGATCATTTTCCTTCTCCTTCTCGCCACCACCCTCTTTCGTTACTACTACTACTACTACTACTACTACTTCTACCACTACTGCAACTCCCTTGATGATCATTATCCTTCTCCTTCTCGCCACCCTTGAAATCCCTTTCCTTTCCTTTTCTTCATCGTCACCTTTCTTGGAATTCTCCCTTCCTCTTCCATTCACCTCTGGATTACCGTAACGTCGCCATAGTTTCCGCACCTTTTTTCCGTCACCCACGAAATCCCAACCAATTGGCTTTGGCGGGACTTGGTCCATCGTTGTCGCATGGATTTTGATGGCTAGCACTTATACGAAACGAGCGAGCTCGAAGGCGAACGGTGTCGGAATGTTGTTCGTGTAGAAAGCCTGTAGTCTACTGTAGACGTAGTAGAAAGGATGGCTGACTCATGATCAAAATTGTGAAATTATCCTTGTTTCAGAGCCTGTACTCTTGTGCAAGGATGGTTTGCGGTAGCTGTAGCTTCGATGCACCGATTTGGTGCCGTTGCCAAGAACACCGTAGGTTAAAAAAGCGGCAGCAGGGTGTGTGTGTGTGTGTGTGTGTGTGTTTGCGTATGTGTTTTTGTTATTAACATGGACCGCGCCAACCGGCTGACCAATGAACGTACGTCAGTCTCCGTGCAGTTGAAACCAGAACATGCTTTTTCTAACAGCCGTGATTTGTGATTTGGGACCCATCAGCGACGGTAATGGTTTTGTGTGTGTATTTTCTTTTTCTTTCCTTTTCGTCCTCCATCCCATTTAGAAATATGAAAACCGTTCAGCCTGCAGGCTACGGATCGATCCATACTCCGTGCAATAACGTACCGTACGGGGGCACGGACAGAAACCACAGCACGGTTTGTCGTCATCATCATCGTTATTTCTGCGGTCTAAATAAAGATAAACTCCAGCCTTACGGTTCTGACTCCCGAAGTGCCCGTTTGGTTCACGAAGTCAGATGGCCGCAGTACGCAGCAGCACTGTTGTCGCTGCTACTCGCAACTGCAACAATCTTTGCCCCTACCCCCCCCCCCCCCCCCCCCCCCCCTCAAAAAAAACCCACCCACCCCCCAAACAAGGAGGGCCCCCCAAAAAACCCCCCCCCCGAACCCCCCCCAAACCCAAACGAACCCAACCCAAAAAGGGACCCCCCCCCGGCCCCCCCCAAAACCAAAAAA